GAGGGGGGGAGGTTTTTGCTATAGGATGGGTGTGCTTGCCAGAAAGACAAGAGAGAGACAGACAGAAAGCGAGAAATCACCCCCCAAGGGGGATGGCCACACCGCAGACCCTTCTCCATTCTCCTCTCGGGATCTTGGGCATGCACACGCGCGCGCCCAGCATGAGTTTAAGTCATGGGGTCTGGGACTCAAACCATGGTTGACTACGTGGTTCGCCTACAAGTCCAGTGATGTAGCCATTACACCATCTGCTGGTCCCTAGAAATCCATATTCTAGAATTAGGCCTACTTTCTGATGTCTTTATTAAATGCCTCATGCATTCAGCAAACTGGAACTCAGATGTCTCCACGAGAGACTGAGTGAGAGTTCTGAGAATTATTCAGCTGACAGTCCCTAATTGTTTCTGGCTCAGTCTTTAGGAGTTTTCTGTGTATGTGTGGCTTTGTATTTAGTCAGAGACTCAATGGGATCCCCAGGCTGAGTTCTGGAGCTCGCTCTTTGGACAGCTATTTCTTTCCTAGTATCTTGCCCCTCACCCTTCAGTCATTTCATGTGTCCTCAACTCAGTGAGACTGCCGAGATCCTCCCGGGGCTCCCTGCAGGGAGAGCCAGCGCCATGACAGACTCAGGTCGTCTGTTTCCCTTTCCCTCCTGGGCGTGACGGGCCTGTGCTGCCTGTTGCCGTGTCTGATAATAGCTGCTGAATACATATTTTGTTCAGTTTTTTCCTCTTACAGCAGGAGGGTAAGTCTAGTCCTAGCTATTTCATCATGGTTGGGAATGAAAGTCCCAAAACACTTCTTAAACGTCACTCACTCCCTAGATTACTTTAAAGCTCTTCTATTCCAGGTACAAATTTTATTTTGGCTGCAACTCAGAAATTACATGTCATTTGGAAAATATTCCTTCACTGAGCTATACATATCTTCTAAATCTTAACACATTTCATTATAAAATATCAAAAACCATCATATTCCTTAGTATCATCATCCATCTCATCAGAAAAGTCTTTAACTTTGGAGAAGCCATCAAGCTCATAGCGACAGGTGGAAGTTACCTGAATTCTCATTCTCACTAGAAAACTCAATTACCATTGACAGCAAACACGGCTGGTTCTTTTCTGTGAAGTGACAGGCTCACCTCATTCATTTTTGAAGAAACACTTGCTGAATATCCAATGCCTAACAACTATGATTTGTTCGTCATGTTTTCCAAGAGGTGAGACTCCATGAAAAAAGGCAGTTCAGCTTGTACTTTGTCCATGCAGGTTTTTCCTAGCGACAAGCGTCTTACTCTGGAAAGCAACAGAAAATACACAGTGTTCTTCCTAGCGTGTCGTACAAAATATTAAAGTGACATGGACTCGAGGGTTGCCTCCTAGCGCAGCAGTAGCATGCTGCTCCAGAGAAGCCAGATCCCACACAGTGACTGCGGTTCTAGTCCCTGCCCTGGTCCGCCTGGAACACGGGGAGGAAGAGGGTTGTATGACCAGACCCTGTGAAGGGTGCTTCTCTCCCCTTGCCTCCACTTTCACATGCACGTGGGCTCTATCACAAGTAAAATAATTGTTAATGATATGGGCTTGAGGAGTTTAGAGAAACTAGTCATTTTTACTGCTTAATCAAGAGCACTCACCTTTATATTTTCTTAAAGAACTATTTCTTTTTATTTATTATTTTTAGATTTGACCAGAGAGAGACATAAAAAGAAAAAAGGAAAGTGAGAAATAAGTCATCAGGATCAGGATGCAGACGATGGTCAGCCATGTAGGAGTCCAACACCCAACCACCAAGCCACACGTCTCTTATATTTTTAAGTGCTAGAACCACAGACTGGCCCTAGTCATTAATAGAGCCAGAGCCCACATGGCTGACTGCATGGTTCAAATCCCAGCCCCAGTGGCTTAAAAAACACACCGAGCATGTGAGCATGCATGTCCAAAATCCCAGGAAGAGAAGGAATGGTAGTATGACCAGGCCCCATTCAGGGGTACTTTCTCCCCTGCCCCATCTCTCCCTGATGAGCACCCACTCCACTACTTTTATTCTTGTTCAGATGCCAGCATTTTTTGTTGTTGTTTATTGTTGTTGTTATAGAGCACGTGCACTGACTAGAGAGAGACAGAGAGAGGGGAAAGTGAAAAAACATCCCCCGGGGGAGATGGTCACACCACTATCTTTTCTCCTCTGTCCTGTCAGGATTTTGGTCACATTCACAACATGCCCAGTATGTTTTTCCAGCCTCTGGGTCCGGGACTCAAGCCACACTGTCTGCCATGTGGAGTCCAGCCACCGTAACCTCCACACTGCTGGCCGGCCCCCCAGTTTAGTCTTGCAGAGGCAGTACAGCTATCAACACAGTTTTTTTAAACAGGAAGATAACCTTGTAACATTATGATTAGAATATTTTGACCTGGTCAACCCCATGAAAGGACCCTAGGGGAGAACCAGCAGTTAGCATAATGGCTATGTCACTGGACTCCCATGTAGTCAACCACAGTTCGCGTCCCGGACCCGGTGGCTTAAAACTCAAGCCGGGCGCGTGTGCGTGCATGCCCAAGATCCCGAGAGGAGAATGGAGGAGAAGGGATTGCGGCGTGACCATCCCCCCTGGGGGGTGATTTCTCGCTTTCTGTCTCTATCTCTCTCTCTGTCTGTCTGGCGAGCGCACGTGCCCTATAGCGAAAACCTCTCCAAACAAAAAAAACAAAGAAAGGACCCTAGGAATCCTCCAACCACATTTAAGAACTGCTAACCTAGGTGAAGAATCAAATGCAGCCTGTATTTTTAACTGGCAGAAATTATTTTGTTTTGTTTTGTTTTAATTATTTATCTAATTTTATTTGTTTATTTAATTTGACCAAAGAGGAAAAAAAGTAAAAAAGCAAGCCACCAGGTCCAGCACTTGAACCGCCCTGTGGGAGTCTAGCACCTTAACCATCACACTACTGGCTCCTCGGGAATCATTTTCTTGTCGAAGTTGGAGCAGTGCAGATAACACAAAAGGGCTGGTTTGTCCTGTCTCAGCATCGCCCCACAAAGGCCTCGTACTGAGGAGCCTTTTCAAACTGGCTAAAGTGTCTGTTCTTGCCTTTAGGGAAGCTATTGCAGTTGCCAAGGCCCGGCTGCGCCCAGAGGACCCTGTCCTAAAGGACCTGTATCTCAGCTGGGGAGCCATCCTAGAAAGGGATGGCCATTACGCCGTAGCAGCCAAATGGTAAGCCCAAGGGGATCTGGCGCACACCCAAACAGAGACGCGCTTCTGCCAAGAAGAGCAGGATAAGAATAAGTTGAGAGGTGGAGGTAGAGACTGGAAATAAGAGACCGTGTGTTTTAAACCCAGCTTCATCTGACTCATCAGGGTCCACCTTACTGTTTGTGTAAATCGCCATAACTAGTCAAACTTGAGTAGCACGCTCAGAAATTGCATCTTGTTCCTGTGAGATGCTGGGGTTTTGTTTGTTTGTTTGTTTTTTGTGGTTTTTTTTGTTTTTACTATTGTGCGCATGTAGTCTCCAGAGAGAGATGTGCAGAGGAAGAGAGAAATCTCCCCCCAGAGGGGATGGACACACCACAGTCCCTTCTTCATTCTCCTCCTTGGATGTTGGACACGCACACAGACATGCCTGGTGTGTTTCTCAAGCCACTGGATCCGGGACTTAGATTGTGGTCAGCGATGTGAGGTCCAGCCTCCTCCACCACGCCGCCGGCTGGCCCACTCCTAATGTGTCTTATACTATACAGTCAGGAACATGAGGGAATGGCTGCTCTGTCTGGATTCAGTCAGCACGTGCCAAGGCTCCTGTATGTCCTTAGCCCGTAGATGTTGCCACAGGCACCGTGCTGAGCTGGGCTGGCCTCTGGCTTCACAGGGACCACAGGAAGGCCCCAGCCACAGTGTGGGCGGAAAGGCTACCCTGGGCAGTGGGAGTATGAGAGCTCTGCGTGACACTTTGTGTGGGTTTTCTCTGATACAGCTATTTAGGGGCAGCTTCCGCTTACGATGCAGCCAAAGTTTTGGCCAAAAAGGGGGATGCGGCGTCACTTAGGACGGCGGCGGAGTTGGCTGCAGTCGTAGGAGAGGATGAGTTGTCTGCGTCCCTGGCTCTCAGGTGTGCCCAAGAGCTGCTTCTGGCCTGGAACTGGGTGGGAGCCCAGGAAGCCCTGGAGCTGCATGAAAGTCTGCAGGTCAGTCTGCTCTTTGATCTACTGGATATAAGTGGGATGGCTCCCAAATCCTCTCCTGGTCAAATCCAAGTGAACAGCCCAGCAATGCAGGCTTGCTGACTTGGTGGGTGTCTTTCGATATGCCCAGCAGGCGCTGTCTGTGCTCTGCTGAAGGTCCAGGCTGGTCAGTTGCCATATTCAGAGTGAGAGAGGATAAAGTCATTCGTAGTGAATGCCATCGCTTACCGGTTTGCACAGAACATCTCTGAGTAGACCAGTAAGCCCAGACCCTGGTCTGGAAGTCTGTTTCTTCACTCCTGCCATCAGCATTGTCTTCAGGGGCCCCTCACACAAATCACAGTGCCGTAAAAGCCCACGGCTGCTGTAGTCTATAACTGCACGGAGAAAGAGACGTGTTTTATTTCTTAAATGTTCACTCATTCTCCTCTAGTTAAAATTTAGTGATTTGCCACTGCTGCCTTTGACACACCAAGGCTGAGGTTACTTTTAAAGCGATGGCACTCTCCCACGCTTAGTCTGTTTGAGATGCCTTTGCTGGTCAGATGAATAAGCTTTTCAAGTTTCCTTTTCCCCAGCAGAATAACTGGGTATAAAGACAGGTCCTAGCTGGACACTGGAACTCAAAGGAAGACGAGAGGAGAGAAAGGAGCTTCCGGGAAACAGCAGACTAAAAGTGGAGGCAGAAGTAGTACACCTGAAAGATAATGAATGCCACGAGGTGTGTTATTTACGAAATTCCCAAATCTAGAGAACTTCTCATTCACAACCATCAAAACTTTTAGAATGGTGGTTGAACATTTCATTTTTCCCCTCTTTAACAGCATCCTTAACAAAGCAAGAAATCCTGTAAAATTAGGTGATAAGGGTTCTCTGGAATGTGCTTACCTGAGAAAATATTATTATTGTACATACAGCATCTCGTGGCAATAAAATTAGGTGATAAGGGTTCTCTGCAATGTGGGTACCTGAGAAAATGTTATTATTATTGTACATACAGCATCTCGTGGCAAGTGAGAGTCCCACAGAAATAAGGAATTCCAAGGCCTTTTCTCTGTGTTCTCATCTCCTCCAGCAGCTCTTAAATGTACCAGTCGTGGCCTCTACAGCCTGTCTCAGCCCTCAGATCTACAGAGCTTGTCTGCTCCAGCACCTCTGGCTGTTATTACACTTCACACCTTCTTCCTTAGTCTGAAGTTGGTGCCGGGAGCAAGAGCCCACTGAGCCCTGCCTTTCCATTCTCAAGCCGGGCCCAGCCTGAATGTGGCCTTGGTTGTAATGGGTGGGGCTGCTGAGGCTCCATGTTAGAGAAATGATTTCTTGGATAGAACTCCTACAAAAGGCACCTGGAGAGCACCTGTCAGATTGCCTCTCGGTCCTCTCACACGAGACTCAGCTGGACAGGCAGCTCTCTAAGGGTTTGGTCGCTGCGGACACAAAGGGGACTACTTTGAAGACCTAAGAGAGCTCTCCAGGTCATGCCAGTGCTTTCCCTGGGTGACAACTCCTCCTCTTTGTTTTGGGTGCCAGGGTCAGAGACTAGTGTTTTGCCTTCTTGAGCTACTATCCAGTCGTCTGGAGGAAAACCAGTTCCCAGAGGGCAGAAGCTCCTCCTCTTACCATGCTTGGACCCTGGACACCCAAGGGCCCTTCGTGGAGAGAGTGACTGCAGTGTGGAAGAGCAGCTTCGGCGTCCACACCCCAGCGCAGTGTCGGGTAGCCTTTGAGAAGCTACAGAACATCAAGTACCCGTCTGCTACAGTCAACACTCCCTCCAAACAGGTACCTCGTCTGCACCAGCTTTGACACTCGTCACTCAATAGTAAGACGTTGCAGTCCATGTCTAGTATAAGGGAAACAAGTGGAATACCGGTCTGCATCTCAGAAGAGACTAAGGCAGGCCCAGGCAACGGCAAGGAGCCCTACAGTCTAACTGAAGTCTTTCAGCTCTAAAGTTAATCCTAGAGCACTGTTTCCTTTTTGTAAAAGTCCAAAAAATGTAGGAAAGTACAGAGAAGGACATAAGTACTTTCATTCACCAGAATTCACAGAAGTCCACATTTTGTTATTTTTTGCTTTATAGGGTGTTTGATTTTGTGTGTTAGTTTGGGTTTTGTTGTTATTTTACTTTAATTCTTTAAAAAAAAGTGCTGGGTCAACAGGTGGCACGGTGGTTAAGGTGCTGGATTCCACATGGCCAACTCTGTGGTTTGAGTCCTAGATCTAGCAGATTGAAAAACATGCCAGGCTCGGGACCAGCAGGTGGCATAATGATTACGTTGCTGCACTCTCATGTAGTCAACTACAGTTTGAGTCCTGGCCCCAGAGGCTCAAAACTCAGGCCAGTGCCTGTGCATGCGTGCCCAAAATCCAGAAAGGAGAATGGAAGAGAAGGAATTGCGGCATGGCCATCCCCCATGAGGTCTGATTTCTTGCTTCCTGTCTCTCTGTCTCTCTGTTTCTCTGGCAAGCGCATGTGCCCTATAGCAAAAATCTCTCTTAAAAAAAAAAAAAAAAAAAAGAACAAAAAGAAAACAATGCCAGGCGTGTGTGCATGTATGTATATCTAGCAGTTTCTTCGGAAGTTAAATATACATAAACACCGTGGCCCAGCAGTTCCTGCTGCCTAGATGTTCTGCTAAAAGAAATGAGATCGGGCGTCCACACAAAGACGTGTACATAGATGTTTGCAGCAGGTGGAAACGGCCCAAGTGTCTTAGCAGTTGGTCAGTGCATAAGCCTAGTGTGGTGTATCCATTCAGTGCAATATTATATTCCTTAACAATAAAAAGGAACCAATTACTGATATACAGATAATATCGGTGAGTCTCAAAAATGTTATGCTAGGTGAAAGAACCAGGATATAAAAGACTACACACTCTGGTTTCATGTATATGGATGTTAGAGGAGATGAGATGAAAGTAGCAGAAAATATCAGTGGTTGCCAGTGGGTGAGGTGAACAGAGTGACTGTAAGAGAGCACACGGGAATATTTTCAGTTAGTGGAAACGTGGTATGTTTTGATTTCAGTGGTAATTATAAAAACACATGTTTGCCAAAACCCATGAAACTGCATATCTAAAACTGGAAAGCTGAGGGCCAGCCAGGTGGTATGGTAGTTAAAGCAGCTGGATCCCACGTGGCCAACTGCGCAGCTCAAGGACTGGACTGTGGCTTGAGAAACACACCTGGTGCATCAGCATGCATGCCCAAAATCCTGAGAGGAGAGTGGAGGAGTCAAGACTGCAGTGTGGCCATCACCCCCAGGGTGTGTTTTCTCACTTTTCCTCTCTCTTTCTGTCTCTCTTTGGGGAGTACATGTACCCTATAGCAAACTTTAAAAACAAATTCCCATTGGTTTCTCTAAATTGTACTCTAGGTTTGGCTTAGTTTGGTTTGAACTATAGCTTTTAGTTCCAGAAATGTACTTTTTTTTTTTAAAGAGAGACTTTCATTATAGGGCACATGTGCTCACAGAGAGTCAGACAGAGACCAAGAGACAGAAAGCAAGAAATCATTCCCCAGGGGGGATGGCCACATCGCAATCCCTTCTCCTCCATTCTCCTCTTGGGATCTTGGGCAAGCACACACATGTGCCCAGCATGAGTTTTCTTTAAAGAATTACTTATTGATTTTATTTCTTCATTCATTTATTTTCATTTGACCAGAGAAAGACATATCAAGACAAGGAATGTGAGGAAGCAAGCCACCAGGTCCAGGACTCAAACCATGGTTGGCCATGAGGGAGTGTTCAGCACCTCAATCACCACACATGCTGACCCCTGGCATGAATTTTAAGCCACCAGGTCCAGGACTCTAACTGCTGTTGACTATGTGGGAGTCTAGCAACTTAACTAACCATTACTTTATCTCCTGGTACCACCACTTCTTGTTTTAATTAAATGCAGTGTTGAGGCATTTACTCAATGTGAACAGGCTGTAACATCAGACGTTGTATGTTACTGTTCAGTTAGATTATGAGCATTTCTCTTTTTTTTTTTTTTTTTTTTGGAGAGGTTTTCGCTACAGGGTGCGTGCACTCGCCAGACAGACAGAGAGAGACATAGAGACAGAAAGCGAGAAATCACCCCCGAGAGGGGATGGTCACGCTGCAATCCCTTCTCCTCCATTCTCCTTTTGGGATCTTGGGCATGCACGCACACGCGCCCGGCGTGAGTTTTAAGCCACCGGGTCCGGGACGCAAACCGCAGTCGACTACGTGAGAATCCAGCAACATAGCCATTACACTAACTGCTAGTTCCCGATTATGAGCATTTCTGATGAAGACGCAAAAATGGGTGGTGGAGCGAGGAGGATCTTCCATAAATGTGCATTGGGTGTGTCTATTTCCAAGTTACTATTAGGTCGTTGGGAAGTATTTTTCTGTTTTTCTATACAAAAATGTGTCATGCCTTTCCCAGTGACCCAACAGAATGGTTCTGGCATCATCCTTGATGTCCCCACCGTGGGAGGATGTTTAACTAGCACTCTGGCTCCTCTCTCCAGCTCCTGCTTCACATCTGCCATGACTTGACCTTGTCTGTGCTGAGTCAACAGCTGGCCTCCTGGGACGAGGCCGTGCACGCGCTGCTTCAGGCTGTGGTCCGGAGCTACGACTCCGGGAACTTCACCATCATGCAGGAAGTGTTCTCAGCGTTTCTCCCTGATGGTAATTGATGCCTACCTCTGCCTGGGGCACACTCACTCACAGAGGACACAGCCACCGCCAACGCTATGGCACTGGGAGTACCTAGGTTAAGATGAGATTGGCTAGTTACATCATATTAGTAGGAAGTGCGAATTTTCTTACCTGAGCTCCTAAGGGGTAGTCAGAGTGACTGCTCCATTTTCCTTTACTTATTAGCCCTACCCACCTCACTGCCCCTCAGCTTGAGAAACATACCGGGCACGCGCGCCTGAGTGCACAAAATCACAACAGGATGGAGAAATGAAGGAGAGTGGATTATAGCGTGACCATGTCCCATTGGGGTTACTTTCTCCCTCTGGCAATTTCAAATAACAGGGTGAGTGGTGGTAGTTAAGGTGGCCGGATCCCACGTGGTCAACTGGGTGGTTTGAGTCCCAGACCCAGGAACTTGAGAAACATGCCAAACACACACAAAGGCATGCCCAAAATCCTGGAAGGAGAATGGAGAAGGGATTGTGGCATGACCGTTCCCCATGGGGGAGGAGGGTACTTTCTCATTTTCCTTCTCTCTCGATGTCCTGACTTCAGTGAGCGGATGCACCCTCTAGCAAAATTTAAGGGGGAGAGGATAGAAAAGCCACAGGAAAAAGATAGACATTTCTATAGCTATGTAATTAGTCACTGAACTAAAATGCTTGTGAATTTTCAGGAAGAAAGTGAGATTTTTACCTAAGTTAGTGTGGACCCAGAGCCTTCAGTCAGGCAGATGAATCCTTTTTGGTCGTACTTTGAATGACCCCAGCCTGTAGCAAACAGAACACTGTCCCTGACTGGGAAATGCTTAGCCCAGTTGGCTTCTGCAGGAAGGTCTACGGTCCATGCATCACCTGCAGTTCTTTTTCCTGAGGTCTTCTGGGTGATAGGAAGCAGAACATGAAGGCAGAATGCCCGGCTTCTGGCAGAGGAACAACTCACAATCCTTTTCTTCTCCTAGGCCCTGACCAACTAAGAGACAAACTGGATGACCACCAGTCCGCCATTACACCAGCTTTCAGTAGTTTGGAGGCCTTCTTTCTTTATGGGCGTCTATATGAATTCTGGTGGTCTCTCTCCAGGCCTTGCCCCAGAGCCGGGGTCTGGGTAGAGGCTAGTCTCAGGACATCCTCCATTGAGCAGAGCCAGCAGTCGGACAGTGGTGGTGCTGAAGCCCCTGACCCTGAGGCATCTCCATCAGAGCCAAGCGGGCCTTCAGAACTGGACTCAGGACTCACAGGAGAAAGTGAGCGGATGCTGAGCATGTGTAAGGTGCTCTTGTCAGAGCAGCACGCCAGTCTCCAGAACTCAGAGAGGACGGTCGCTGAAGTCCAGGAGACCTTGGCAGAAATGATCCGCCAGCACCAGAAGAGTCAGCTCTGCAAATCCACAACGAACGGTCCTGAGAAGAGGGAACCTGAACAGGAAGTAGAACAGGCCCCCTCTGGTCCTCAGGGGCAGCGGTAAGTACTGAGCCAAGTACAGGCGGGATGAGAAACACCTGCTGACCCTCACATAAGGAGGCCAAGAACGTGCACGATGCTGTTAGTTGGGTCACCCAGAAGCAGCATAATGTAGCAGCAAAGGCGTTGGGGTCAGATGTGGGTTTTAATCTGGTCCATACCAAGTGACCTCAGACAAGTTTTTCAGTGTCTCTGAGCTTTAGTTTTCCTTTCTCCAATGAGGGTTCCAACTCCCATCTTGGTATCAGATCAAAAAAAAAAAAAAAAAAAAGATGTAAAGTGTGGAGTTGCATTATTGCATTACTAAAGAAAAACACTGTTTTTCAGTTGTTCTGTACCGTTACTGATAAAAGTGTGTTTATGCAAAACACGCTGAACTGAGAGAATGCCAAATGGTTGGAATGCTGTGCCTTCCTGATGTTTTTGTTGAAGATAGGGGCCAGGTGTGGGGCAGGAGCCACAATCAGTCACTGCAGAGCTGGGTCTGCCCATTCCTGGCCCTGCAGTGGGTTGCAGTGTAACAGTCACTACTTGGCTGTTGTGGGGAATTCCTTTTACCTTGGTTGTGTCCTCTAGCGCAGGGCCCAGAACATAATGACTAGTAAAATCAGTCAACTCACAGCTAGTATTACTAACTTAAAAGAAAAAAACCTAAGCACCTTCAAAGCTCTTATTTTTGTCCTCTAACAATAGTACCATTGAGGGACCAGCAGATGATATAATGGTTCTGTTGCCAAACTCCCACATAGTTGACCACAGTTTGAGTCCCAGATCTGGTGGCTTAACACTCACATCGGGCACATGTGTGTGTCTGTGCCCAAGAACCCAAGAGGAGTATGGAGGAGAAGGGATTGCAGCATGGCCATCCCAAATGAGAGGGATTTCTCACTTTCTGTCTCTCTGTCTCTGTCTTTCTGGTGAGTGCATGTGCCCTATAGCAAAAAATCTCTCTTAAAAAAATAGTGCCAGGGACCAGCAGTTAGCATAATGGCTATGTCGCTGGACTCCCATGTAGTCAACCACGGTTCGCGTCCTGGACCTGGTGGCTTAAAAAACTCACGCCGGGGGACCAGCAATTAGCGTAATGACTATGTCGCTGGACTTCCATATAGTCGACTGTGGTTCAAGTCCCGGACCCGGTGGCTTAAACTCACGCCAGGCGTGTGTGTGCGTGCCCAAGATCCCGAGAGGAGAATGGAGGAGAAGGGATTGCGGCGTGACCATCCCCTCTGGGGGGTGATTTCTCACTTTCTGTCTCTCTCTCTGTGTCTGCCTGGCGAGCGCACGCACCCTATAGCAAAAACTTCTCAAAAAAAAAAAGAAAAAGTACTATTGAAATCATGAGTCAGATTTGAGTCACTTTTCTAGTAAGCTGCCACGCACGAGGCTGCTTTACGTTTGCTTTCTGTAACAAGAGAATGCTGACGAGTCCTCTAACCCACTGACTTGACTTTTGGATCACAGGACCTCTTTGAGAAGCTTAAAACACTCTGCTCAGAAAAATGCGCATCCCCGTGGTTAGGGGCACTGCCTGTTTCCCAGAGAAATACAGGCTACCTGCACTTGACTGCGGTCAAGTTCCAGAAAGGTTCTAAATTTCCTCAAAGCTCTTTGTCCAAGGGATTTAGGAAGTGGTAAGGTTCAATAATTGCATCTTGAAAACTTTTTTTAGGATTTTGCCATAGGATACATGCACTGGCTAGAGAGAGACAGAAAGGGAAAGTGAGAAATCATCCCCCAGAGAGGACTGCCACACGTTATTCCTCCACTTCCCAGAATTTCAGGCCCTCACACACACCTCACTAGTGTGATTTTGAAGCTGCCAGGCCCAGGACTCAAACCATGGTTGGCCATGTGAGAGTCGTTGCCCTAACCACCATGCTACCTGCTGTCCCCCACATCTTAAAAGCGTTTGTATCACATCACATTCCGTTGCCTTCTGTCTCTGTGTAATTACGTTGCGTAACAACGGGCATATGTTCTGAGAAATGTGCTGTCGGGCTGTTGCCTCATCGTGTGAACATCACAGAGGGTACTGACACAGACCTGCATGGGATAGCTGACTGCACACCGAGGCCGTGTGGAGCCTGTTGCCCTGAGGCCACGGACCCGTCCAGCATGTGCTGCACTGCACGCTGTAGGCAGTTGTAATACAGCCACATTTGTGTATCTAAACAAAGAAAGGTACAGTAAAAATCTGGTGTTAAGTGGCCAGACAGTGGCACAATGGTAAAAGGCAACTCTCAGGCAGTCCCATATGGGAAGGTTTCGGCTCAAGTGTGGACACCTCCCTGAGTACGTCAGGCACCTGCTCGCGCATGATCCAGGGCTGTGGATCAGTGTCAGGACCCCGTTGGAGGTGCTGTGTCTCTACCTCCCTTCTTTCCCCATCTCTCTTTCAAAAGGAATAAGTAAACTTACATATACATGTATATACACATACTTACATACGTACTAGGACCAGCCTCATGGTGCAGTGGTTAAGGGAGCCAGATCTTGGGGCCAGCAGGTATCGTGGTATTTGGGGCACTGGACTCCCACATGGCCTGCCATGGTTCGAGTCGTGAGCCTAGAAGCTTGCTTTCCTACTTGCCCTTTCTCTCTCTCTCTCTCTCTTTCTCTCCCCCTCTCTCTCTCCAAATAATAATGATTATAATAAATGAAATAAAATAATTATTTTAAAAAGAGAGAGAGAAAGATAGCCAGATCTCGCATGGCCAACCACAGCTCAAATTTTGCCCTGGCAGGTTGAAAAATACAACAGGTATATGTGCGTAAATACCCCAGATCACAAGGGGATAGAGAAATGAAGAAGGGATTATAGCATGACTGCGTGCCATCAGGGAATGCTTTCTTCCTTTCCACTCTTTCTCTCTGACAAGGACAAATACCCTCTGGCAAAATTTTTTAAAAAACACAGAATAACCACTGGAGAGGATGTGGGAAAATTGGAGTCCCTGTGCACTGCTAGTGGGAATGTAAAATGATATAGTCACTGTGGAGCATTATGGCCATGCCTAAAAACATAAATAAATAAAAATACACTAGCAGTTAGCGTAATGGCTATGTCACGGGACTCCCATGTAGTCGACCACAGTTCAAGTCCTGGACCCGGTGGCTTAAACTCACGCCGGGCACATGTACGTGCGTGCCCAAGATCCCGAGAGGAGAATGGAGGAGAAGGGATTGTGGTGTGGCCATCCCCCCAGGGAGTGATTTCTTGCTTTCTGTCTCTCTGTCTTTCTGGCTCATGCACGCGCCCTATAGCAAAAACCTCTCCAAAAAAAAAAAAATAGAACTGTCAAAGATTCAGCAACTCTCCTTCTGGGCACATACCTGGAAGCGTTGAAAGCAGGATCTCAGCGTTTATGTCGGGGTTCACAGCAGCATTCTTCACAGTAGCTAAAACACAGAAGCAGCGCAGATGAATGGATAAGCAAGTGTGCATATTCATATGGTGGAACACTAGCCTTAAAGGGGAAGGACGTTCCAGCATGTGCTGCAGCGTGGTTGAATCTTGAGGACATTATGCTAATCTTGAGGCCACTATGCAAAGTGAAATAAGTCAGTTGCAAAAGATGCACTGTGTGATTCCACTGTTATGTACTCAGCATAGTCAGAATCTTAGAGCAGGGCCAGCAGGTAGCACACTGGTTAAGGTGCCGGACTCCTATATGGCCAACCATGGCCTGAGTCCTGGACTAGGCAGCCTGAAAATCACTGGGTATGTGCCCAAAATCCCAAGAGGAAAATAGAAGGGAAGGTGGCATGGCCATCCCCTCTGGGGAGTGATTTCTCACTTTGGCTCTCAGTCTCTCTCTGGCGAATGCACGCACCCTGTGACTAAATCAGTCAGTCAGTCTTAGAGAAGGAGAGTTGTGGTTGCCATGAGGGAGAGTGGAGGAGTACTGTTACTTGGTACAGAAAATTTGCATTTTATAAGACGAACAGTTGTGGAGGTAGATAGTGGTGAAGGCCGGGCAGCATCACAGGTGTGTTTAATGCCACCGAACTGCACTCGAAAAGTGACTAGAGTGGGGATGTGTATGTCATGTGTGTTTTACCACAGTAAAAACAACTGGGTGGGAAAAAAGTTAGCCGGGGCAAGATATATGACTCATACTTCTTTTATTATTATCATTAGTAAACAAGAAAAAAATGAGCCCGTTTCTCTACCTGAGTTAACCAAAAGACTTGCAGAAGCACAGGAGAGAATGGCAACGTTTCCTGAGAGTGTTAAGGTAAGGGCCTTAGCCGTTCATTTGGCAAAACATTACATTTTCTGTTATCCCTTGACTATAGCTAATTCTTCAGTGCCACCCATTTCTCTGCTCAGTTTCTGAACTCTCTAGCCATATGTGCTTGAAAGTTTAGGATCTAGTTATCTGTGGTCAGCAGAAATGTTTGGTGAGAGTAGAAGTATTGATCACACAAATAACTTTATACTTCAGTCTTCGGAGACACCAGATTGTATTGTTGGGCAGTAAGAAGTAAAACTTAAGTCGGTGCCATGTAACCGATAGCTTTTAGACGGACAGGCATATTTAGTTAGCTACGGCCCTAGTAGTAATGGAAGTATCGTTTTGTCAGTTGGTTTGAGTAGAGCTCTAGGAAAAGATCTGTCATTCGAAAAGGATATCCCAGCAGCCTTCCCAATTTGAGTATCATCTATCAGAGAAAGCACTTGCATTGGGAGAGAACTGACCCAGCCCAGCCTGAGAAGGTGCAAGCCGTGCCAGTGGGTGCGTCTGGGCTCCCAGTGCCTCTGCAGGTGTGTGTGAGCTCTCTTGCAAACGCTGCCTCATTCATCCTGTCATCTTTCAGACCTGGCCCTTCCCAGATGTGCTGGAGTGCTGCCTCGTTCTGCTTCACCTTGGGTCCCAGTGCCCTGATTGTGTGACTCGGGAAATGCAGCAACAGGCTGAAGAGCTCCTTGGGAAATACGGCAACACCAACGCTTACAAAAGACACTGCCAGACTTCCTGCACATGACCTTGGAGAGACTGTGCCAAATGCAAAATGTTCAACACCTTTCACCTCTGCAGTTACACCACCCCAGACGTTTACTCTGACCTGTAGTTGTTTTTGCACTGATCCAAAATACAAATGAGGGTTGAGTTTAAATCACCTCTGGTGACCCGTAGACACAATGGGATCGGACTCCAGACTCAGTTGTGGTGTCCTGCCAAAGGAAAGATCATGAAAAGCTAGCAGTAGCTACTCAGACCTAACACCTGCTGAGTGAGTGTCACTTATCGCTAAAGCCTTACACAGGTTTCACCCAACGAGGAGAAACTTCATCACCCAAAGTGTTACATTCTTCCACACAAGCTACCTGTATACATACTTTGCCTGATCATAAACTTACCATTCTTGTTTGCCATAGAATTGCCACATTTTATGAGTTGGCAGTTTTTTGGGTTTTTTAAGTTATTCTTGTTAACCCAGGCTCTCCCACTCTCGCTTTCAAAGATTGCACTTTGGATGTGAAATAGGCCTTAACCATCATGTTGATTCTTTGCCCTTTGATCTTTAGGTTATGGTGTTATTGGTCTATGTCATTGTTTATTTGGACAAGTTACTTACAAAGTTTCAGAACAGATAACTAGCTCAATGTGAGTGATCCCTTCAGTTTTATAAGAAATGATTGAAAGCGATCAAATAGCTCAGGAAGAAATGACTATTTTTAGTGGTTCTTGATCTTTTTTAGGTCACAGGACTTTTTGGCTTTCAGATCACTGGACTGTAACAATGAGATTCTAAATATTATTTAATTATAAATTCTTGTTTTCTCTTAAGTTAAACAGATCAACAATGTATGGCACAGATGTTTTTGTAATATCCCGGTTGCTAGAATGAGAAATTCTGACCCTCTGGGGTGAGGGTAGGAGGGAGTACTCCTTCCTGATAACTGAAGTGTTTCTTTTGAAATTCATTATGAACGCTTTTCTGCTCCAGTGTCTAGTTGATTTTTCAATTAATTCCTAAGGTTGAGGTTGTTATGAGAAAAAAAATGCCATTCTTAGAAATAAAATTCACTCTTAAATATTTATTACTAAGAACTTTCTCCAGGAAAGAAAAAGAGACAGTTTTCAAAGACATTTGTATTTAGCTTTGGAGTTGAAAAACTGCTAAACCCAATAAAGTTAGTATTTTAGAACTTAAATCTTCAGGGCCAGCTCCAAAACATAGCATTAGGTGCTGCTTAGGGAGCCGGATCCCACGTGGCCAACCACGGTTCGAATCTCAGCCCTGGCAGCTTGCAGACACATCGAGACGTGCATGTGTGCCCAAAATCCTAAAGGGATAAAGAAATGGAAGAAAAAGAACTGCAGCGTGACCACACCTCATTACTTGGGCGTCCTTTCTCTCTCAGAAGAAATAAGTAAACTTTTAAAACCATAATATCTTTTAAAAAGAAAGGGAAAAACCTTTCAGTAGTTTCCCATTGCTTTTCAATAAAAGATAAAAGTCTTGAAATGATTTGCAAATTCTTGCCTGAATGCTGACCCTCCTGTCATTACACTCAGCCTAGCCTCTGGATTCCAGCCACACTGGCCTCCGAGCTGTTGGAACCCACCACAATCTCTCACCGCCTCAGGGGTTTGCCTTAGGTTGTTGTTCTGCCTAGCTCACTCTAACTCATCCTTTAGCTCTCAGCATAAATGTCCTGTAAAAAGACCCTTAAAATGTCCCTAAACCGCAGCCTCAGTGACATCAGTGTCTTATGCTTTACAGTTCACAAATTGCATTTGTGAATTATTTACTGTGGCAACACAGATTGTAAACTCCAATGAGGGTAGAGATGAAGTCTTCTATATATTGTTTAGCTCCTATTTATATGTCGTATTTAGTAGGTGCTTAGTGAAAATTCATGACTAAATAAACTAAGAAATTGAAAATATGCTCATTGGTAGCTCAGATTTAAAGTACTGAAAATTGAGTTCATTCATAACAGCACTGGCTGACAGCCAGGCTTGTGGTTAATATTCAGTCTTACAAGGCTAGCAGAACACGAATTCAAACACGTTTGGCAGTATATGCGGAAGGATTGAATTAGGCCCAGCTTATTCTCTTGACTACCCTTTAGCACATCCCTGAGTTTAACTATTCACACAGCCCTGTAAACACACACCATGAAGTTCTTGCGAATTCTAACAGGCTTGTGCACTTTCCTTTGCACTTTAATAAATGCTTACCAGGGCCAACAGCTGATGTGGTGATTAAGGCACTGGGATCCCACATGGCCAATGACAGTTCAAATCCCAGACTGGACAGCTTGCTTTCTCACGTTCCCTCTGTCTCTCTCTGGCCAAAATGAAAAATGATAAAATTTAAATAATTCTTTAAAAACATAATTGCTTACCCTCTCCCATGCAACTATCAGACCACCCTACTCAAGTTCCTCAACTCCATCTCAGCATTTCTCCTGACATGTCTGTCCTTGACTGCAAAAAAAGATGAATTCCCTACTTTAATCCAGATCAGGAAGGACATCTGGGTGGTGCTCAGTCACCAGCAGGCCAACGCACCTGGTCTATACTGTTCTCACCAATATTACAGTGTTATCTTTTTCCTTACATGGAAACCTCCCAGAGTTCTAGATCTGCTGTACCTGACTCCTCACAACCCCACGTTTTTGTGCCAACAGAAAGAGCTGGAAACAAAGTCCATAGCCAAATCGAGGATAACCGAAGTTCAATTTGTATGAAAGAGTTCCACTAATTAAGTGAATCTATCAGATATGATGAAATGGCCACCAGGAAATAGAATGAAGCCAGTTTCCTAGTAAAGCCTGACAAAGTTATTAAAAGCGTCACCAAGTGAAGCTTTTGGGACAGTGGAGGCAAGACAATCCCCTACACTGACGAAAACTGACCACCTTCTAGAGCCAGCATCCTTTGCTATGAAAGACCAAACCTTCATGCCAGTGGTTAAAAAGAAGTCTTTATTTTACAAAATTAAAAACATAAATAATATTTACAAGCATCTTAAATACCAGCTTATAATACTTGACATTTTTGAATCATTTCAAATTGAGTTTTCCATACGCTTTTAAAATGCAAGGCTATTCGTCCACTTCAGTGAGTTACCTGTTTTTATTTCCACCATTCAAAAGGGGTTTTTGATTTTTTTGAAACTGTCCAGGCTATAGTCATCCAAAGACATAGTGTACTCTAAATGACTAGCTTTAAAAAAAAAATCCTGAGCTTCCTACCCCAGTTGTGGGATGTTACTCCAATAGAACTCTACATGCCAAATTCCTTACTGCCCTGTTTAGATGTAACAACTATAATCTTCTAAGGACTCACATTCCTGGTACTCACATTAATTAATCCAACTCCCTAACTTCTCACATTTGCTGAAAAGAAAAGCGGGGATAATGGAGGAGAGAAGTGGAGAAACACACATGACCATCTGAAATCACATTACTGAAAGGACAACAGATTTATGACCCGAAACTGACCTTACTAACTTCCTTCAGGATCTAATCCAGGGTACTTTACTATAGGGGAACGTAGAATGATTTCAGATGATGCATATGTAACAGCGAATCTCAGTGGCACAAAGGAACAGACTTAAAGACACTGGAGTGGTCAACTTAATACACACTTGTGGAGTTTCTCGCGAAGGACAGGTAGACAGACTTACTAGGATTATTTGCTTTTAAGGAAAGTTTCATTTTCTGATCTTCGAATTTCCGCACTGAGCAATTCATTCCCATGTAATAGTACATAAAGGCTACCAACATCTGAGGAAAGCAAATGTCCTCATAAAGGGTCAAAAAAGAAAAGAAAGACTCAATATCTACATAGAACCCACTTCACAAAAACACCATTTTGTTCATTCTTTCCAGAAGACCTCAGCTCAGCTGAGAATCATAGCAAAAATCATCATCAGCGATTAGCAACAGATTCAAAAGAAAAAGAATGACAACAGGTAAGAGTTATATACATTTTACTAGTTTGTTTCAGACTTGTCCTGGATATTTAAAAAGGTGTTCAAATGAGCCATGGATGCTGGTGGCAACTGGAGAAGAGGCTTGGAATGAGGAATAGGGAAGACTTGTTTACAAATTCCAGAGCAAACTCCCCTCTTCTGGATCTAAAATAAAGACATGTTTTGTCTTCGGTAAAACAAAAGTCTTTCTGCTCACTGCAGATGGCAGGTGCGGTTTGCTCAGGAGAGGCGTTTCCTCGGGGAAGAAGTACCCAGTCGGCACAGCGAGCACCACCCCGGGGCCGGGCCCACCCCACTCGACCTGCTTCCATCACTGCTGCATGTTGTTGATGAGCGCCAGGATGCTCATCTTCTCCTGGGCAGAGTCCACGTCCTCATTCTGCTTCTGGGCCACTCCCGTGCCGAGGCCATAGAGCCGGCCACAGTACTTGGCATCATCGATGCTGTCCTCAAAAAACAACTGCAGAATAAGACAACTGGTGAGGATCAGGCAGGAGCCACGCCCAGTCTAACCTCCACATCACCACTCCCAGCTAGCTCTTCAAACCCTGAAATCCAGCAAGCTAGAAACTGACTTCGCAAAGCTTTCCACATGCAGCATTCCCATACTCCACTCTCTGAAGAGAGGCTCTCCTTTCTGGTCAGACTTACACTTGCCGTGCATGCTGTCACCAGGATGTCTGTGCTGCTGTTTTGTACAACTGTCCCCTTCTCCTTTCCCTTTAACAGGCAAGGCAATGGCTAAGAGCTTAGGCTTTGGACTCAGACTGACTCACTGCGTGACCTTGGCAAAGTCACTTCAACTCTTGTAAGTCACACACCCGTACCTATGAAATGGGGCCGTATAAGAACAGGGGTATGAATGATGAGATCCTCGATACGAAGCACTCAGGCCAGGCATCTCGCCACTGCCACTACTGGGCAGGCGAAGTCCTTGCCGGGGGTGGGGAGGGTGTCTAGCATGCCACAGGATGGGAAGCTTCATCTCTGGCCAGAAGGGCATCTGTTTCCCACCAGGGTCTGACCACCTAAACCGTCTCCACACACTGCCACATGGACCATGGGAGGCAAAACCATCCCCAGTTGAAAACCACTGCCACAGAGCACTTCCCTGCACGTGTTAACGGTAATAACAGCTGTAGTTTTATGAGTACTATCCCTTTTCATCTTGTTTGCTCTAAAAGAAAGTGCCACACCTACATATCAATTCCATTTGTGTCATTCCTCAAAGTGTCAATAAAGCATCACTTTTTCACAATAGCCTCTCACTTCCTCTGCTTCTTCAAACACATTTAAAAAGCTCTGAGTGGGCAAGAAAATAAAAGGGAAATTGGGGACCAGCAGGTGGTGTGGTGGCTAAGGCGCTGGACACTCCCACATGGCCGACCAGGGTTCAAGTCCTGAATCTGGTGGCTTGCTTTCTCACTTCTTCTCTCTCTCACTCTCACCCTCTGTCTCTCTCTGGTCAAATTAAAAAACTAAATGAATGAATAAATAAAATAAATAATTACACTTAAAAAAAAGAAAACAGGGAAATTGAGAATCTTCTCACTAATGAGTCATAGTAAACCCGATATAGTCTTTAACGACTAACGGAACTCAGCATAAGTGGGTGGTCTCACACAGGTGACCTCATTTAGAAACCAGCAGGAGAGATCACTGAAAGGCCTGGAGCTGAGAGGAGCACGAAGTTCGCCTCTGGACTTCGAGTGTGGGAAAACCTGGGTACTCCCAAGTGACTTCCGCTCCGCAGTGCTGCTTTCACCTTTCAGACTACATCTGAAATGTGAGTACCATCACAAAAAACTGCTTTCCAAGTGGACTTCAATTCCCAACAGAAACGGCGCTGGACACTCCCACATGGCCGACCAGGGTTCAAGTCCTGAATCTGGTGGCTTGCTTTCTCACTTCTTCTCTCTCTCACTCTCACCCTCTGTCTCTCTCTGGTCAAATTAAAAAACTAAATGAATGAATAAATAAAATAAATAATTACACTTAAAAAAAAGAAAACAGGGAAATTGAGAATCTTCTCACTAATGAGTCATAGTAAACCCGATATAGTCTTTAACGACTAACGGAACTCAGCATAAGTGGGTGGTCTCACACAGGTGACCTCATTTAGAAACCAGCAGGAGAGATCACTGAAAGGCCTGGAGCTGAGAGGAGCACGAAGTTCGCCTCTGGACTTCGAGTGTGGGAAAACCTGGGTACTCCCAAGTGACTTCCGCTCCGCAGTGCTGCTTTCACCTTTCAGACTACATCTGAAATGTGAGTACCATCACAAAAAACTGCTTTCCAAGTGGACTTCAATTCCCAACAGAAACACCACAGTTCAACAAACCTCAGCCTACAAAGATCCCGGCCCTCAGCCTGCAGCAAGCTGCTGCACAGAGGCCTTACCTCCTTCATCCTGAAGAACGCCATTCCCGTCAGCAGCGAGTCGGAGCCCGCCTGGTGCTGCCTTCCAATCCTCTGCAAATCTAACTGGTCGGCAACTTCCTGCAGACCTCCCTGGAGACGGAAGGGAAACAAAGACATGTTACAGACCCCGACACTCCTCTATTCTATTCATGAGCTCATTTAATTTTGGTGGCAGAAAGTAACAACGGGCCATTCCTGTACCAGGCCTCAACTCTTTTCTTCCCTCCAAATGGTATCTTGTGTCACGTTGCACTTTTGTTCCTTTTTCTCTATCATTAATTTTGCCAGACCTCTACCCTTTAAAATCCGCTGCTAGTTGAAGGTGAGGAAACAGTGAAGGCCAATCCAACTCCAGACAGCAAGCCTCCTTGTCAGCAGTTTACTGTGGTACTTATTCTTATCCTGAAGTCCAGAACCCCCTAAGAATCTGGTACACTGCAAACTCCATCCCTAACAGACTACACATATACCTGGTGTCGCCAACTGCTTCACCAGGTTCATGGGCCTCAAATGAGGAAAGCCTGCCTGGGAACGGGAGAAGCAGAGACCTCCCTTCACGGCCAGGTTACCACCCCGACACGGTGACCACACAAATCCCTGGACCAATCCACCCCACATTACCCCTACACCTAGCAGAACCCTGGCACCTGGCAGGCACTCAAGAATGCACACTGGGGGACCAGCAGTTAGCTAATGGCTATGTCGCTGGACTCCCACGTAGTCAACCGCGGTTCGGGTCCTGGACCTGGAGGCTTAAACTCACGCTGGGCGAGTGTGCATGCGTGCCCAAGATCCCAAGAGGAGAATGGAGGAGAAGGGATTGTGGCGTGGCCATCCCCCCGGGGAGTGATTTCCTGCTTTCTGTCTCTCTGTCTCTCTCTGTCTGTCTGGCGAGCACATGCACCCTATAGCAAAAACCTCTCCAAAAAATTTAATAAATAATATATA